CCCGTTACCCTAAGCTCAGTATACCGCGAGCTACAGCTCGAGGTATACTGAGACGCCGCAGCCGGAGCGGATCCCGACCTCGATGTCAAAATCCGCCCAACTGCGTGAGTGACAGCTGGCTTGACAGGATCGAGAGGTGAGCGAACGCCGGTATGTGTTCGCTCACCTCCCGATCTACTGAGCCGACCTGTGACAGTCTCATTGTCACAGGTCAGCTAGAACTATGAGGTGAGTGGAAATCACTAACCTCATAGTTCTCCTATAAGAAAGGGGATAGCATTGTATGAGAACATTGTTCACTCCACAGGAAGTTAGAAGGGCAGTGGATTTCTGGCAGGACTTTCTGTACTTCCGTTTAAAAAGTAAAAAATAGCTTCCCTGTCCCTCACTTGCTCGTCACTGATGAGGCATCTAGATGGATGGTGTAATTGTTTTTTTTTCCTTTACCATTGGTCCAAACCACCCACAGAGCTCAAGCCTCTGACTCCAAGTCAGAGGCTTGTTTTCGCTGACCTCATTGTTAGGTGACAGCATTTTCTTCCATAATGGCAGGTGAGGCTCTGCCTCCCCAGACCACATGTCTCTGATATGACCCATAAGAGTGACAACTGTAACATTTTGGATTCCACTCAGTGGCATAACTACAGATTATGGGGCCCCATAGCACATTTTTGATCAAATCAAGGACTTGTATCAAGAGAGCGGTCAGCATAGTCCGTACATTACAAGAACTGAAAGTCACTTAGTCCTCACTAAGTGACTTTACCATAATGAACCCTGTCTGTACTGTGCTGGCAGATTTCAGTATCACATGTACATAGGGTTGCCACCTTTTCGTCAAGCGAAACCCGAACACTCTAGCGACACGCGGTCATTTTTTTGGTAGAATGAGTCGTGCTAAAACCCTGACTGTCCAGGTGAATCCTGGACAGGTGGCAACCCTACATGTACACTAGCTGGCCATACACTGGTAGATTTTCATCTGAACAGCCATATGAAAAATCTGGTCAGAACATTCACTAATGCCATCAGAAACTTGACGAGTGTCCTTGAGGCCAGACCGCGCGGCAATGGTGCACGAAACCATGTGGTTGGCCGTGCAGTCACACACCACCGATGTTCATGCTGGCTGTGCCCTTATTTTCTAATAGCAGACTGGGCACCAGGCAGATCTCGCAGTTTCCCGTTGCAATTCCGCCCATGCAATCGCGCACGATCGTGGTTGAAAAAAAACGAGCGTCGTAGAAAAAGGGTACATGTTCTTTTTTTTAGTGATTGCCATGCGGATGTAACCCCATTGAAATCAATGGGGCCACGCGGCAACCATTGTGTGCAACCGCACACAATCACCCAAGCCTGCACCAGCCCTCAAAAGTTGGTATTAACATTCGATTTTGGAATGAATGGAGTTTTTCGAGTGAATTTTATTTGTTCAAGAAAAATTTGCCATCCTGCTCCTTCATCTCTACAATAGAAACAATTATCTATTTATACGCTGCTTAACCCTTAGTCCCGCTATACACCGTTGCATGATGCGAGAGCAGAAACGCACAATTTACCGTGTTCACGGAGTGCGTACAAACAACGCTCTTGGAGTGCCATTACTAGGTACTGGCATCCCAAACGTGAGACGCAAACTATGCTACATGTGTGACTTTTCCTGCGTTTACCACGCGTGCAGCACCCATTGAAATCAATTATTATTGGTATTATAAAGCGCGACAATTTTACGCAGCGCTTTGCATATGCACATCAGTCCCTGCCCTAAAGGAGCTTACAATCTAAAGTCCCTTTCTCACATGTATACATACAAGGGACAATTTAGACAGGAGCCAAATAACATTCCAGCATGTCTTTGGGGACGCGCCCCAAATATAGGAAACAAATGCCTGCAAATGCCCCTGCAATGCACATCCGTGCTGTGCTATGGTGTGAACGGCGACTCACAAGTTGCAAACACAAATCCTGCTCCGGAGAAGCAGCTAAAAAAGGTAAGAAATCTTTTTTTAAAGTATATTTTGTCAGTATTCTGAGAACACATAGAGACGTAGGGAAAGGGGGGTTTCCTCAAATTTGACTGCAAAAGTGGAAATACACGTCAGTGATACAGAACCGGATTTGTGTTATCAACAACCCCCTCCCCTAACAGGGCCCCCTCCTTCCCCCAGGCCCCAGAGCAACAGTGTGGGTGGCTTTGGCTATTGTTACTCTGCTGATTTCATTTCACTTTTTCTCCTGGGGACAATAGCATTCAAGAGTAGACATATAGACGCAAACAACGCTAAAAGAAAAACCTGGCAGAGCTTCCAACCCTTCTTCACTTGATTCAAAACAAAACTGTTTTGTGTTTAGATGCACTTCAACCCTGAACTCCAGATATAAGAGAAACAAATCAATGCAGCTCTGTAATGATTACTAAATCATTAAATGTAAACTGTGTAATTTGACCGGGTATCAGCTAATGTCAGAGCAAATATCAGTACAAGGAGCCAATAAACAAGCATTATAAGGGGAGAGAGCAGAGTGAGCGAGAGATGAGCTTATCACTGTGCCGCTTCTCTTTTACTGTCCAGTCACAGGCTGGAGGCAGGTCTAGAATGAACTGGGCTCAAAGGAAATGAGGTAAATGATGCTGGCCGACAAACTAAAGACATTCAGTAGCAGATAATAGTAAAGCCTTAGAGGGTTTCCTGGACAGCATACTAATCGCCCCCATCCCCCCTCCCCGCTACATACCCATGAGACTATTTCTTATACTTTCTTTCCTTATTTTTTATATATCACCTCTCTCCCCTCTTTCTTTCTTTTCTGTCCTTCCTGTTTCTTTTACGAGTTGAACCTCTTCCTAGGGAAGAATTCTAGCGCTCCAATGCTGAATGGCACCATACACCTTCTGGCTGCTGTGCACAATTCCCGGGGAAAAAAATGGCAACGTTTTTGATCTATGGCAGGTGTAGGCAACCTCGGTTCTCCAGCTGTTGTGGAACTACAAGTCCCATGAGGCATTGCAAGACTGACATTCACAGGCATGACTCCCAGAGGCATGTTGGGATTTGAAGTGTCACCACAGCTGGAGTGCCTGATATATGGGATACCCTTTTAACAAGGTGCAAAATTTGCCACCATCTGGTGTTGCTTATGATGGACTCTACACTTAATAACCGGGTCCGCTCGCACAGTTTGTTTAGCCCTGTACACTGCAGTAAAATATACTGCACCATTGCACGTTGGTGGCTGCTATAATGTCTGATGTCTTCTGTATAATGTCACCATGTGTTTGTCCTACATTTAGAAATCTGTGGGACACATTAAAATCATTGCAAACATTGAAATTAAAATACGCTGAAAAGGGCGCAAAAACACGCTGAGCACATGGAATAAAAAATGCAGTAAAATTAGAAATAATAATAGTAAAAAAAACAACAACTTCTACATGGATCTATACGCATAATTCTATATATTATTATTATTATTATTACGTAGTATTTATATAGCGCCAACAGTTTGCACAGCGTTCATGTTCATATATAACTGCGTTCATGTGACAAGTTTCCCAGTGTCACAGTGAACGGATAAAAAAATAAAATAAATAAAATGACCGTTCAGTAATTCTGCAAAGATCCGACCTTTGTACAGAACACAGAGGAGTCGGGTCTCAAATGATCAGAAACAATGTAACTATCATTATTATAGAGCTGTATTTAATGGTGGATTCAGGCTAGATTCACACCTGGGCGATCCGTGACCGGGCGGCAATTGTGCACAAAACCATGGAATTGCCCACCACTGCCGATCGCGCTGGCGGTGCCATTATTTTCGAATGGCACCCCAGACGCGCCGGACAGATTGCACGGTCTCCATGCCATTGAACACAATCGCGGCGGAAAAAAACATGCGTCATGTATCACACAGAAAGGTACTTGTACTTTTTTTTTTAGCGATTGCCGCACAGATGTAACCCCATTGCAATCAATGGGATCGCGTGGCAATCGCTGTGTGCAACTATGCATGAGCGCGTGTCCCGAGATTGCTCAGCTCTGAACCTAGCCTCATTATCTACCGTTACAGACGCGCGTTTTGCAACACCTCTTTTTTTTTTTAACCCTGGCTTTAACAGAGAGTGACTGAGCTTCAGCTCAAGTATTAATTTCTGCATGTTTTTAACGTGCAAGAAAATACGGTAACTGATACGCAGCGTTTGCATAACGCTATGGAGTGAATCCAGCGTAAAACTGTTGCAACACTTCATCTCACCGTTATAGATTCAGTGAACGTGTTGACTAAACAAATTTTGCCTTAATGTTTAAAAAGATTGAAAAGACAAGAAAATATGAAACGATAATAAGAAGTAAATGGTAAATAAATAAAAATACTGTTATTGTCAGGTATCAATATTCTAAACAACAACATATCCATGGTGCGTCTATTCAAAACTTAAGATTGGACCTAGAAAGTCAGGGACATTGCGGTCAATCTGTAAGCACCTTCTGGGTCAAGGAGTAAAGACTGATGTGAATTATTCAGTGTAATGCGCCACAGAATATGTTGGTGCTATATAATAACAATCTATACATTCCTTGCCCTTTGCACAAATTATTAGTACTCAGCATTTCACTGATCACAGAAAAATTCTCCAATAGGTCTCTGCAAACAGCTTACAATCTGCCCCTACTGCACACACGTACACAGCCTTGGGCCAAATTGGTGAGGTACCAGTTAGCCCACAAGTATGTTTTTGTGGAAGGAAAACCACACCAGCACAAGGAGAACATATAAACGTCATGCAAATAGCACGCTTGCTGCTTCTTACCAGTGCTGACTGGTAAGAATCCTAACCACATAGCCACCATGCTGCCCAATGCACATTACAAAGTCTTTACAAACCACATAAACTGTATTACAAAAGCCCAGATTGTATGCAATGAACAGACACAGATATGTTAAGTAGATACAACTCTTCACTGCTGGAGGACTAGAGAACAAGCTGCAATGATACATACCATTGGCCAAACTCTTTTTAGTTGTCCTCTTTGCCATGGTCATCTGGACCTGGTGCTGGATCCGCATGGACTTCTCGAGGTCCTGGCGACCCACTTTCAGCATCTCCTCAGACGGCAGTGCCAGGGTAGAGCTGTCCATGTCCATAAAATGCTCTCGGCTCAGGACCGTCCTGATATAGCCTTGCTCGCCGGCTGGTGATGCCACCAGCGTCATGTTGGATGAAGGGGTCTACAAGTGCCCTTAGAAATGTCAGCCTCTGATGAGAGTATTGATGCTGTACCACTGCCCACACTGGTATACAATGACAGAGCCCTGGGCACCTGCTGAGCTTTGGGCTACAGTCTCCAACAAGTTGTCTTTAAAAAAGTGTGCACCTCTTGTTTGGTCTTAACCCTAGTGTGCAATCTAGAGTACACAACTCTCCCAAAATACAACCTGTAGTATGTTCTTTGTTCTAGTACACACGTCCGGTACACTCAATACCCAGGCCAAGGCCTTGAGTATGTGTCAGTACCTTTATCCAACCTCCGTTAAATGATTTGTTCCAGTACACAGCTCCAGTACACTCAAAATCCCAGTGTACAACCTTGAGTAAATACTAGGATCCAGTATACAGTTTCCAATAGTTCCTTGGTGGTAGTACACAATTCCAGTATGCGTTACCTTCTAGAATAAGCCTCCAGTTATCTTTTTGTGCCTACGCCAACCTCCAGTAACTGTCACAGCAGGTACACGCCTCCGTTAGGAACCCCAAAATACAGCTTCCAGTGAGTTCTTGGCACCAGTGCAGACTTCCAGTGCATGCCAGATCCCAGTACACAACCCACAGTCCACACTAGCTGCAGCACAAGGGCCGGTCACCTGTATTTGGTACAACTTTCTGATCCAGGTCCCTGTGTAAGCGGCTGTAGTTGGTGCGATCCTTGGAGCCCACCAAGCCCCAGTGTGCAGCTTGCAGCACAATGTTCTAAAGCTCACTCACCAGTGCACACCTCTACAGACACAGCTTCCTCTCTTAGTAACTGGGAGGCCTCCTCCCACCTTGAGTTTCCCGACTGGGATTCCTTAGATAACTCAGCTTTAAATGTCCCTGAGGTTCAGGGCTGGGCTGCTAAGCATAGAGGAGGAAGGGGAGAGGACTGCACACAGCAGTACACAAAGGCTGTACAGCCCCGAGCTGCGCAGGAGGGGAGGGCTGGGGAGTGGCACCTCTGTACACCTCACAGGTCACAGCTACAGTTCAGGTTCAATGCTTTGCACACAGCAGGGAGAGGGTGGGTTGTATTTGAATGCACGTTCGGGAAGACTGATTTGCAGACATTTTTTATGCATCATCATCACAATACAGTCTTTGAGAATCACTGGATACCTAGTGAAACAGAATTTATTTTAAAGGATATGTACACCCCAGCAATAACTTCTCTTATTTGCTCCCTTTTGGTCTGTTAAATATAACATGAAATGTGTTTTGTTATATCTGTTTGATAAGTGTACAAAAAAACCTGTTGATCCGTTCACAAGCTGATAACTTCCTGTGCTATCTCTCCTGAGCTGCTTACATATCAGTTACATTGCTCCCAACTGAGGAAGATTACAGAAGACCTCCCCGCTATGTTATGGAAAAGAGGAAGGGGGGAGTTTAATGTCCTGTCCTAGTGAGATAATGTAGATAGAGTACAGTGAGTGAGTGTTGTCACCCTAGGACAGGGGTAGCAAGACTTCAGCCCTCCAGCTGTAGAGGAACTACAAGTCCCATAAGGTATTGCAAGACTGACAGCCACAGACATGACTTCGAGAGGCAGATGCACAACGGGGTTTGGATTTGTAGTTTCATCACAACTGAAGGGGTGCAGTTTGACCACCCCTGCCCTAGGAGATTAAAGTAATATGGCCTACTCTAATATAAAAATGTGCTGCAGCACTTAAAGGTGACACAATTGCGCACTTCTTCATAAAAGAAGAAATGTGCATTTATTATTTTTTTTCCATTGGTGCCAGTAAAGAATTGCAATCGTGATAAGTGGATTGCTGGCTCATTCAGATCCTGCAGGTATATATGGGTGTAATATGAAACATGGACCAAAAGGTAAACTCAGCCTTTAATTTTGACTGCATCTGCACTGACAGTCCCCCTGCAAAGTTCCATAAATACCTGTTGATCCTGCCAGTGAAGTCCACCTAATGCAGCTTCCTGTGATGGTGTGGCAACAATGCTGCACTGCCACTGAATTCAGAGCATGTGAAGCATTGTTGGCTGTGCCTGCTTGCAGTGCAGTGGGATGAAACAGTTGCAGTGGAAGCGGCTATCAGCATTGTCACTGCTGATTCACAAGTCTGTAGCTTGCCAATCAATAACTAGCCAAACCTAGTCCTGCCCACTACTTTGTACATTGGCAGCATTGCCTCTGTTGCTCAATCACTTCCACTGTGAGCTGCAGTGCCTGGGAGGGGGAGCATGTGAGACACAAATGAAGAAGGATATGGCTCAGTCAGGGGAGGGAAAGGAAGCTTTTTTGCTTACTTTATAAGACCTATGCATCACATAATAACTGGATTTGATACTTGTTTACACTGTCACACAGGAGCCTTACTTGTACCTTTTTTCTGCGATACACGACGCGCGACTGTTTTATCGTGTTCTGAAGCACGGGCGGAATCGTGGCGGTAAACCGTGCAATCCACCCAGCGCGACTGCGGTGCCATTGGAAAATAATGGCACCCACAGCGCGATCGGTGCACAGCTGGGCGACTCCTGACCGTGCGGCAATCGGCGCGGAATCGTGCATGTTTGCTGCACGGTGGGGTGTCGCCAAGTGTGCATCGGCCCTTAGGTTCTACTTTGAGTGTGTTACTGGCAGGATCACCAGGTACAAATAAAGGGAAAAAAGAGCCTGAAAAAGGAAACGGATGCAGTCGTCACATCTAAAGACTGGTCAGTCGCAATATATAGCATTTTTCTTCTTGGATTTAGATACACAGATACACTTTAATGCTGCTTTCCTATAAAGAAATACAGAGGAAATACAAGTTGTTCAATTATTTTTTTATTCATATAACCCCACAATAATCACTGCACTTTGCAGACAGCCTGGAACTATTCCAGTTCTGTCTCTGTCTCCAAAGGGGATGTCAATCTAATGTCCCTGCCAATAAACAAATCTGTGTAAAATTACAACAATCCGTGTGAAAAAATTGATGCAAGTGGATTATTTACATATGACTAGAAGGTTCAACACACAAACATAATAAGAATAATAAAAATCAACACTGGAACCTTCAGAATTAGTGCCAGTGATCAACCTCATTGGTTCGGCATGTATATCTTAAACACGTGAACCTCTGGCTAGCGGTGTAGTAAAACAACACAGAAAACTAAAATTTAAACCGTGATATTAATTCAAGCTGTGAACAAACTTTGAAAAGGAAGGAGGGGCTCTGTGGTGGCGCTCCAATACTCCTTTAAAAAAACCAAAAACAAAAAAAACTGTGTCACTGAGAGAAGGAAGTTGCCCTTTCTTAAAGTGCTGTTCGCTTGAATTAATATCACGGTTTAAATTTTTGTTTTCTGTGTTGTTTTACTACACCACTAGCCAGAGGTTCACGTGTTTAAGATATACATGCCGAACCAATGAGGCTGATCACTGGCACTAATTCTGAAGGTTCCAGTGTTGATTTTTATTATTCTTATTATGTTTGTGTGTTGAACCTTCTAGTCATATGTAAATAATCCACTTGCATCAATTTTTTCACATGGATTGTTGTAATTTTACACAGATTTGTTTATTAACACTTTAGTGTGTAGTTGGTTCACATAGACCGAGCGCAACATATTTGCTTTACATTTGTTCACCTAACTACCTATATCAGGTAGTTAGGCACGCATTCCCAGCGCAGTGATTTCTGTGATAATCTAATGTCCCTGCTGCAGTCATATGCAGATGCAGACAATAGAGGGCAAGTTTGGTGCAGGTCAGTAAAACTGCTATTATGTTTGTTACGTTTCCTTTGTTATAGTTTTGCTGTGAAGAGTTTTGCTCCACCCACCCCCAAATTATCTCAGCATTCAAAGAATGCCAAACTGATAAGATAGTCCAATTCTAGCATGGGTCTTTGTTTGCTCATAGAATAAAAGAATATGTATAATTTGTAATGAATATCATATTACTATGGAGCAATATAAAGGATTGGTAATATTACATTGTTAGTAATATTGCAGTTAATACATAGAAACTACTATTATTGATTTACATAGTCCCAACATCTTAACAGAGCTGTACGGAATGCGGACAAATAATGCTCGGGACATGAAGCTAATAAAGTGTCTCTATAGGAGTGGATAAATAGGAAACCAGAAGACATTTTTTTTCAGATGCACTCTGAACTTTTTCTGTTCTTATGACCGAGTTTCTACAGGCTTGTGATGAGCTCTCGGACGCTGGTTGGGTGGTTAAAAAAAAAACACCAGGCTTCCCACAAAGGTTACTGTGAAAGCCTCGATAAGGTATCAAGATGATGGGTGTCAGAGTCCATAAAATGTTTAATGTTTAAAATCTGATTGAATCAATAAAACAGCCAACACACTTCAGGTGCAAGTACATCCTTCTCCGTTAGGGCTTAGAAGTAGAATGCAATAGTAGATGTCGGGACTCAAAATTATAATACCCAGAAAAATCTTTGCATTTTACAAGATAGCTCTGCTGGGGGGGTGGGGGGTATAATTAGTGAAAAGCAGTCACTGCCACTGTCAATTGGTTTGGCGACCACCATTTTAATCACTTTGGAAGGGAAAGTCAACAGCCAATGGGATCGCTGGCTTAACTATTTATATCTCTGCCGTTGGGGCTTGTCAGCTGTTTAGATTCCTCAATCAAGTTGTCATCTCCCTTCCTTTGTTGGCCACCTTTGTGGGTGGACAGTATTTTAGTTGATAATCTGGTAGCATTGTACAGATGCATCATGCTCAAGATCAAGCAAGGTTTTTTCTGCTAAATTCAACTTTAGTCTGTTGGTCGGTTTTAACAAACGTATACAAGTAGGGATGCACCGATACCAAGTACCGTCCTTGGTACAAGTACAAGTACAGATAATTTTCGAGCTCCAAGACAAGACTAGAGAAAAATTCAAAAGATAGGAGGCAGCTGTCACAGGGATTTGTACATCTCTGTTTTAATGCATGATTTTGTTTTTATAAATATAAATAAAGGGATGCACCGATACCAGTTTTGCGAGTACAAGTACTGATAGA